ACATATTTCTTTAAAGTTACTCATTTACTGAAACATGATCCAGTCGATAATTGGACCCTTACGCTTTAAGAGATCGTGTAGAGAAGTCGATCAAACGTTCACGATAATCAAAAGAAAGAAATGGCTGCCTTGTGTGGTTCGTATTCGTTTAATTAATGAATGGAATTATATTTCAGTTGGGTTTTGTTTGTTCATTTTCTATGTGTTTAGACAAATGTACTTTATATTTGTATTGTGTGTTCGAATCTTCTCACTGATATTTAGGACCGCAGTTGATCAATTTCATATTGACATATGTGCATCCTATGCATATTGAGTCAGTATTGCAACCAAATCACAAACATTATAAACAGGGATGAAAGTAGCAAGCAGTGGAATTCGGGACATGCGTTTCGTCTCATTTTGGACCCGTCATTTCGATGTTACTGAATATCGGAGTTGATGTTTACTCCAGGACTCGGACTTAGTGCTATTCGCTTCAGACTCCACCGCATAATGTTTCAGAAGTACTTATCAGATGGTTGTGCGTAACTGACCTCAAGTAGCTGTCCTTTCGACGATGACACTCCCAGGTCAACAGGATCACTACTAACTCAGTTTAGTTTTCAGATCCATCAGTATATTGTGTGTTTCTTCCATTGTGTAAGTAACCAGAAAGTGGAAATCAACGTTACATTCCTAACAACTAAATTTCACCATCCATTTAAGTCTGATGAACCAGATAGTATTTCTACCTTACATAGGCTGAGAACAAAGTTGTAGATGATTAGATCTATGGTCAAATACTAGTAACTTATGAGTATCTTCTACTCTGAATAGTCACGTTTCACAGCCGTAAAGTAGAACAGAGCGAACTGCTACTCAGTATACTCGTCCCTTATTTCATAGATGAACATCTCGTCTTTATCATAGGTAATGTTAGTTGACGAAAGCTGCACGAGCTTTTTGAATCCGTGTAGAGATTTTGTCAGACACCAACCCATTTAGGCTGATCAGACTTCCAAGATAAGTGGAGTTGTCGACGCGTTCAACTACTTTACTCCCTCCAAATATTATAATTAGTAATTTTCTCTTTTTGGAAAATGCAGCCATTTACTACCAGGAAATCAACATCCTTATTGCTTTAGAGAGATTTTAATTTTATTCCAATTAGGTACAAGAAAGTATAACATAGGACTTCGTTTATCTTTATATATAAACGTTTCACTAATCTCTAATCAAATCATCTATTTTGTAGCAAGTAAATACAAATTCACTTAAGGTACCATCACATTCTCACTACATTTAGTGAAACGTCATTCAGTCTTATTGCCTCACATTTTCTGTAGCCTGTTTAACAAATTCTTATTCTGATAGAAATCTGAGGTCCACTAAAACCTTCCTAAGAAGTTTATTAACCTAGGAGTTCGAGTGAGATAAAATGACTGAGATAATAAGGATAGATAATTGTTACTAAATTCTAAAAATCACCGTATTAGTTGAATGTCGACTTCAATGAAAGTCAGAAAATTTCATTTCAGTTGATTGTAGGGGTGAAGAGATAGACGATAAATCAGACAAAATTCATATCCTGAGGAGTTTTATTCCTTTCGGTGCCTAGATTCTTGATGACTGTCTTCATTGATCCTCGCCCTTATTGATAAACTTCAAATTTCATCACACCTTTTTTCTCTCTCTTTCGCTCTCGCTCTTACTATAGTTTACCATCTCGCTAGGGATGCTAATCAGTATGATTTTCTTCAGATTAATTTATAATTTGTAAAGAGTATCTTTCAATCAATCTTATTAAAGTAACAAGAAAAGTCTGTTGAAAACTCAATAATATGTAATTACATCTAATCACTGAATTCTAGATTAACCATTCAAGATCTTTTGCTTGAGATCATGAACCGACCAGTGTCAGACCACCATTGAAAACCAGGAAGCAGTGAACAACTGTTTCGTTCTAGTATAAGACTCCCCAACAGTGCGCACCCACGATTACCCACCAAAGGGAATCGAATACAAGACCTTTGGTCTCGCATAAACGCCTAACCTCTAGATCACTGACCTGGAATTTAACTTTGTTGACACGATCGGTTCATTATCTCGGTAAAAACTCAACAACCTCCATTACTTTATACTGATATTCGAATATTCTTTTATTATCTATTGTAGATTAACTATTAATACTTATGATGGTAAAGAAGTGAAACCTCAAAATTTCATTGATTGATGAATGACTTTACTGTAGCAAACGTTTTTGCAAGATGTTCGTTTCTCGTTATGTCTTATGATCCTGCCAAATAATACGTGACAAGATCACAAATCAGAACACCGCCTTTTATGACCTTGTCCCTATACTAAACCAACGGTGCGTTAGCCAGCACTAGCAGCCTTCCTCCAACTCAGGGTCCTTACTGGTCCTCTGTATAGTAATTTGTTGCCTAACTCAGCCTGTTCACTCAAGAACACAAATGTTAACCTCCACTGTATGAATCATATATTTCGTAGGCACGTGGTTTATATACAGGTAGATCAGACCACATTACACCATAAAATTAACAAAAATGATAATTATATAAGATCAAGCTCAAACTGTGTATGAATGTGATAGACTGTAGTTAATAAATTGGGTATAAATTGAGAATGGTAACTCACATAACAGTAGCCAATGGAGATCAAATGTAAGTTTATGATAAAAGGAATATACATTCTTATGTAATCTAGTTATTTCATAATTATCCAATAAGAATAGAATGTAGTAATAATCCATAAATAAGTCCCGACCATTACCATTCACCGAACTGTTGTTAATGTTTTATATATCGACATCAAAATAAGCATAACTCCGCCTGTAGCTCTTCTAGAGTTACTGCCGGTTCCAAGCCCGGGTAAAGGAGGAGGGTTAGCGACCCCCTACCTTAGAAAAGCTAACTCGCTAAAAAAACGCTAACCAGAAACAATCATTTAAACTCTGCCCTAAGAGTTAGAAGGTCTTCATTTAAAAGACTTATGAGATTTCATAATGAAAACTCAGTTCCAGCTTTTATTTGATTAAAAAATAAAACAACATTGTCAAAGATACACTAAAAGGAAAGTATCCGTTCATAGAATGAGTATAATGAATGATATTACTAAGTGTACATGTGTGTATGTGTGTGTGTGTGTGGGTAAGTAACTAAGTAAGTAAATAAGTATTTCTACATAGAGACAAAATGAACAAAACAATCCATATCTCTCTATATATAATGAATGTGCGTATACATTTTTGTTACCAATTATCAATAATATTAATATAATGATTGAAAAAAAAATAAAAAAGAAAAGAACAATCCACAACCACATAACATAACCCATTCATTCGATGGTTTTCTTGTATTAAAAAAAATACAAAAAACAAAAAATTAAAAAAAGAAGAAAACGGGGTGGGGGAGAGAACCATGTTTGCAAAGCATTTAAGTACAACAATAATCAAATGATTACGAAATTTTTAAAATGATAATATTGACCAGAAAAATAATTCAATCAATTATGTTTTATCACTAAGGGTGCTTCTTTTTCTTCTTTTTAAGTTCTCTTTTTTCTCTTTTCTTTTTTTCTTTTTTTATTTTTTGTACACGGTTTAAAACAAAACTCAATAGATTCAATTGTCAATGTTGATTACATAACAACCAAACAACCAAACAATCCAATCCAAAAAAGGATTCATTTAATGATGAATCTAATATGATAATTCAAATCTTAATTCATCTTGAATACTTTCCCATAAATCTTGATCTACTTTAATGGTCACATGGCCACACGTGTACAACCAATGCCAGGTAAGTCCTATTTACTGACTTCTCGGGGCAAGAGTGTTATTAACAACAATGAAAGGACGAAAAACAATTGTTCGACTCTCTAACTGGGTAGGTGGATATACAGGATCTACCTAAGGGGTGTTGAAACCCCTAATTCCCAATCAATGATGTACATGAGCTCCAGGATCCTGAGTGAACGAAAGGCGTATAAACTTATTGGTAGTTACAGGCTACCATGGGACTGCATCTCCTTATGTTATTCTACTGCCTTGTGGGTCAGACCGTTAGGTCAAAGGTTTGGGGAGTAGCTCTTTAAGAAAGCCACCTTAAGCATTGTCACAACTCTTACACAAATCGAATGATTTATGTGGCTCATATGTATTCGGAGAACATTGTTGATGAATAGCCTTATCAGTGAAATACAAAAATATTTCATTCTGTGGTGCTTCGTTATTTTCAAAATTCTTTTCGAGTTGACTACAATCAGTGATATACTACACTACTGTCAGATGATACAGACATCTTAACTAAACGTAATATATACTAGTGAGATTGAGGAGATCTAATAAATATCTTTGATGACTGATATCAAGTAAAAATATTGCAAACCATGTTGATAATGATAAGGTAAAAAAAAACAACTCAAGAGCCATTTTCATAATTAATGGATTGTGGCTGGGTAGTGAAATCCAAGACTTACGTTCCAATCTCACCCTGAATATATATCTGTATCTTCGAGTAATCAAAATTCATTTCTAAATATCAACAATGGGATTATTCAAACACTTAATAATGATGATGACAGTTCCACTTTGTATTTCGAATGACCATCAAGGAAAACCTGAGAGCACTGTTGAATGCCGGCTTAATGGTCTAGAGGTTAAGCGCTCGCACGAGCGACTGATAGGTCCTGGTGTCGAATCTCGCTAGGTGGGATCGTGGATTCGCACTTCTGATGAGTCCCACAATAAGACGAAACGACCTTCCAGTGCTTCCAGGTTTTTCATGGTGGTGGTGTATATTTCACACTGATTTATAATTGATTCCCAGTAATATTTAATAGAGATTAAAGAAACTGCAATCACTTTAGAATGATTTGAATGAAAATCTTAAATATATAAATCATATCATCACCTCATACCATAGTGACTAAGCCGTTCAGTTCGTTAGTGAAGAGCTCTTCAATTCACTGTCTGGTTACCATTAATGATGATTATATTAGCGTTTTTGTTGTTTTCTCATGTCAATCATCTTAACATTGATAGTTGGTAACTTTACGTTAACCATGTACCAGTTAGCAGGATATACATTTATATATTAACAATCTATTACTTTACTTTCATTGATTCATTTACTTTAATGGCAGTAGTAGTAGTAGTAGTAGTAGTAGTAGTAGTAGTAGTGTAATGAGCGAGAACAGATGAGGACAACCAACTATGTATTTAGCATAAATTACAACGTTACTTGGTAAAATACAAAAACCATGCTATGATACACTATTTGCAAAATGTTCTTCGATTGCCTCAGGCTTCATTGTTCCTGGATTTTCACACAAACTGCTTTTGATTTATGTTCTTCTCTTCTTGATCTTCTCAATATTCTGCTGTCAGATAATGTATTCCTTACTCACCATATATACTACTTATGTCGATATAAGTAGCTCACACCACAGTAGTAGTGGTAGTAGTAGTAGTAGTAGTAGTAGTAGTAGTAGTAGTAGTAGATCACATAATTCTAGAAGAGAAGAGTGGATTCAAAAGAATGTAAGAAAAGAAAAAATAAATCAATGGATTTGCTTCATTACGACCAATTATAAGCCATATCGTCCAACATCTCCAAACAGTAATTACAATAGAGATGCCGGCAGAATTTTCAATACAAATGTCAAGATAGTTCTACTGTATGAGGCGGAAACGTGACGAACTACAAAAACCATCATCCAAAAGATACAAGTGTTTATTAACAGTTGTCTACGTAAACTACTTCGGATCCATTGGTCAGACACTATCATCAACAACCTACTGTGGGAGAGAACAAACCAGATTTCAGTGGATGAAGAAATCAGGGAGAAGAACTGGAAGTGGATAGGACACACATTGAGGAAATCACCCAACTGTTTTACAAAGCAATCCCTCACTTGGAATCCTCAACGCCAACGGAGAGGAGGAAGACAAAAGAACACATTACACCGAGAAATGGAAACAGATCTGAGAAGAGTGAACAACAATCGGATAGAACTAGAAAGGAATGCCCAGGATAGAATGGGTTAGAGAATGCTAGTCGGCGATCTATGCTCCATCGGGAGTAACAGCCGTAAGTAAGTAAGTAATTCATATAGATATATACTATAATTTCATCATTACTTACTAATTCACATTGACTATTCCCATCGTCATTATCATTATCCTTATCATTGAAATCATTCAATAAGTGATTTGATATAGTTGTTGATGTATCATTTATTAATGTTGTGTAATGATTACAAGGTAATAATGGATCATTATTATTATTACATAATAATATTACATTATTATTATATTGATTTTTATTTAAACAATATAATTGTCCATCTAATATAGCTAAACGTCTTGCTAATTGACATAATAATTGTATTACAGCAATTGTATTATTATGTAATCGATCAAATCGATTAACAATGGTACCATAATTTATATCCATTGAATTAAATGAATTCCAACTATTCACTAAATGATCATCATGATGCGGATGATGATGATGATAATCAATATTTAATTCACTTAATCTAGATCGTAACTATGGGGAAAAAAGAAAAAAAAAGAGTTAAGATTATATTAAACAATTGGAATCATTCTATGAATGTTCAGTATAGAGTATAAGGGGGGGGGGAGAGGACAATCAAATGTACTTTGGGCATCAAAATGACAAACTATCCCACTAAAATCTGACAATCATACAGTAAACGGTTAATATATGCAAAATAACAATCAATGGTCTTAAGCTTGACCATTGCTTCTGCAAATATCAGTCCATAGTCTTCGATTATTAAGGATCATGCATTTTCATACCAACTGCTTTCCGTTCCACTTTTCTCCTTATCGATCTATTACTCAAATACATTCAATGCTTGACTATTGTTATATACTACTTGTTTGGATATAAGTAACCCACACCACAATAATAGCTCTATACACTAATACATTATACATTAGACCGCTGAACTACAATAGGTATTAACTTGTCTAATGAATATGATACCATGATACTATTCAAGATCTGCATTTGTAGGTACATGCAATATTGAGAAATCCGTTCAATAATCCCCCCCTATCAGCAAAAATGTATTGGAAACTTTCATAAACATTAGAAACGAAGAAAAACCATAAAACTCTTTACAAAATATAACAGGACTTGATTGTATATTGGATAAGTCGTGGGAGTGGAATGTGAGAATTATGTTTCATAAAGCTGATATATATCTCATTTCACGTATTTCTTAACACATGACAGATATTACTCATTCTAAGAAGGAAATATGTGACTGACTTATTGAAGGATTCAAAGCAAGTGACTTTCTAGGATTTAGGATTACGAACAAACTCACATTCTTAATTCTCCCATACTAATTACCATCGAGAAATTTAAAAGTTAACGGATACGAAGACCACCAAGGCACTGGCTTTGGTAGCTCATTTATCAACAACAGTTTATGAACATGTTTCCACGACACCATCACTAAGGATCGAACCTTGGGCCTTCAATCTTCCTAAGGAAAGCTTAACCTCTTCACAAATGTTAATCATTAAAGTATGTTACAAATCTCCATCAACCCTATATTGTATTTTAATAACTCACCAACCTTTCCGTTGAATTACCACGATTATTTCCATGTATTAATCTATTAAGATTACAATTAGTGAATCTATTCACAAACTAATACTAATATCGCATCAATGTACACCAACGATAAAACTGTGGTGTATGTTACTTATGTCTGTCGACATAAGTAGTATGTAACACCGATCAGAATCGGAATACCTATTAAAAGAAGGTTGGGAAGTATGTATGGTTGTCATACTTTACCAACGAAGTCTGTAATTTTTTGTATTAATCAATAAATTGGTTGTGCTCACCTGAGAATTCGTTCACTACAAAACTATTGGAGGAATTTTGAAAGATTTTGCTTCATTTAAAAAGATATTTGAATAGGAAACATGTAAAGCTTATTCTGATGGACTTATGCTATCTAGGATGATTTGCGACCGTAACATGCAGTTATTACTTATTTACTTACTTACTTACTCCTGTTACTCACACTTGAGCATAGGCCGCTGACCAGCATTCTCCAACGCACTCAGTTATTACTTGTAAAGTAATTACGTTAAGATATGTATAAAGTCATATATAAAGACTTATTTGGATAGTGTACTAGAATGGATTATCAAAGATCTTCATAGGAAATTATACCCAGACCTCAAAGGGATATTGCTACCATATTGATATTTTATGATGGCAGATCTTATGAGTGTTAATTGATGGAATTTTATTCAGAGCTTGTTTGAAATTCTCTATTCAAATACTTTTGTTTAACTAAGTAGTTATACTATATGGTTACTCACCCCCAAATGCCCTAGCACGGTCGACAGTGGAGAGATCCAGTTCATATTCATAGTAACAGTTTATCTAAGTACTGTTAACAATGGACTACGTTCGCGTTTTCAGAAATCTTTTTATTTTAAGAGACAGACATTCATGGATATGCAAGTTCTATTCAGTAGAACGGTTTTCTCTAAAGGTATTTCAAATAAATAACTTTATGTTGTTTGGTGATTATGTTCAAGATAGTTTTCTGAACAATCTAACAGAAAAAGAATTCACTGATGAGGTACATCGTGTTCGACTGTAAACTATCATTAACATTGATTGAGAATCGTATCGTTTTGCAAATGGAATGAGTGAAGTAGATCTGCATTCATACCATGTTGTCAGTCATTCTTTCATAATTATCGTCCTATCATTATAAAAACGACAAGTATCACACCTTGGTTAGTTAGTTAATGATAAAAGGGTGATTAAAAGGACAGAAAATGCAAATCAAAATTTTGATAAGAAACTACTTACAAGTTTTTCTTCAATGGCATTTCTTGCAACATGTTGATTTGCCGTAGCTAGGCTATGACGTTTATTTGCTATACGTAAAGCTAAATATCTTGCTAATCGTCTCAATATTGTAATTACACTTGGTTTGTTTACTTCAGTAGTATTACTAAGGTCATTAGTAGTACATTTCATATCATTTAAACTTAAAGAATTGCCAATCATTGATGCCGATGTTTCGTCTAATGTATCTGGATCTATTACAGATTCACTACCGTCTTCTTTAGGTGATTCTTTTGCAAAGTTGGTTGATGGTTTCTTTGATTCATTGAGATTTCTAGAAAACAAAATAGAGAAGTTGCAAAGAGTATTTAGAATAGTTTCCTATAGGATTCTAATGTGTATGTTCTAAAGGAAGATATTATATTGACATCGGCGTCTGACATCAATTAGACTGTTTAAAACTCGAAAGCGTCAGATATCTGTTTCCTCATGGTATGGAGGCCCCTCACAAGCTTTATCTATCTATAACGGCACAAAAGATCGTAATCGCGACGTTTATGCTTCGGAAATACCGCTCATTCTCTCTAGTCGATGTTTTGTTAACTACCAACCCATCAGTGCCAATGAGATGAAGATAAGTAGAATGATCAACTCAGTATTTTAATTTCTCTGATTGCTCTAGGTGAAAATGCAGAGAGAAAGGAAATGCACCCTAAATATTCTTGTATTATTGATAGAGACATTCTGAAGACTCTGTATTTTCTCACACTTTACTTAACAGGATTATATCATCTAGATATTTCGTGTTAACAAGTTAAGTTCTTGGTAAGGAACCAATTTCTAGAAAGTCCAAAGGAGAAAATGTTATCTCTAACCTGTTGTCTTTGGTGGAGATGAATATTAATGAGGATAATAAGCAACTATAAAGAACACCGACCCAAGTTACTAATTTCGATGATCATGTAGTGAACAACAACATAAGTGGGGACAATTGAATGTACTTAAGTACACCTTACAGATTATCTCACTAAATTCTGATAACCATACAGTAAACAGTTAATTTGCAAAATAACAATCAATTGTCTCAATCTTAACTGTTCTTTCTGCAAATATTAGTACGTCTTCTCTGATTTCATTGTTCATGCAGTTTCATACCGATTTCGCTTCATTCCTGTTTGTTCCTTATCGAAAGTCTGCTAAAATACATTCTATCCATGATCATCACCATATACTACTTATATGGATATAAGTAGACTACACTACAATCACTTCCTACAAACTCTGATCCAAACAATAGTTTTTGAGTAAAGAATCTTCTCAAAGTTTATGTACTTTTTCGATACACTCTTTAATGATGAACAGTTACAAAGAATATCACAGTCAAGTAATACTACTATTTTCGAAATTTAGTAATACTGCCTATATTCATTTGTACACTTTAGATGTACTTTTATAATGAAGATTATGCTTGATGGTATTCACAAAATAAAGAAGGTAAGTATTAATTTAAAGTACGCAATATACATGATGGAAATATGAAATGATGATTTCAATCATTCAAGACATGAATATTGTTGACATGAAAGTATCATAGATTTAGAACGGAAAAGAAGACAATGTCATTTACCGGGGGGAGGGGGAAATTATCATTATGTAATGTATCAGTTAAAAACATGAAAGACAACAACATTTTCATATTGTAATTTCATAAATCGATTGAACATTTTTTTAGTTTTAATTAAGATCATGAACCGGTCGATGTTAGACCACCTTTGAAGAACTTGAAATCACCGAGTGGTAATTTCGTCCTAGCATGGGACTCTTCAGCAGTGCGTACATGCAAACTTAGAACCTGTTGAGGAAGTTTATATTAGAACAAAAAAGTCGTCTAGTACTTCCAACATTTTGAAAGTTCTCTCTGAGTTGGACATTTGTGAACAATGACGTTACGTCAAAGTACATAATCTTTTGACCTTTCGTGTTTATGTTTTTAATCTTCTCAACAAATTGGGATACATCATTAATATTGTGCTGTACTAGATGTTTGTATAGTGGTTGTTATTATTATACGATTTATCATTCTTGAGTTATCCCTAGTTCATAATTTATTGTGCCCCCACATTCAAAGACACATTTGGCTAAATATTGTATCAATGTTATTATCTATTTTATTGGTACAATGTGTTCAGAAATTTCATGCAATTGGTTCCCTTTATGAATTTAAATAAAGCAAGAACAAACATTGATGCAGAATAGTATGAATTCATATTATTTCGAGGTTTCTCGTCAGCTGCTTACAAACCAAAATTGTGATAGAATTTTTACATGTAGATAGTGTGAAACAATTGACATAAATAAGTGTAAATAACGTGATTACAAAAATAACTATATATATATGCTAGAAACAGGTCAGAGGTCAAAAGAGGGAGGTTAATCCAGGATGGGTGGTGTAATAATTTAGTGAAGTTCATAAATTGTGTGATAATTGTAGAGATTAATGGAATTGACTAATGATAAGGTAGATTACGTAATAATAATTAAATAGGGTTTGGAAAGTTAAGATGATTTAAGAGGATGAGGTGGTGGAAATGTGTGAATAAAATTTATTTTAAGAATTAGGCAATAGGGGGGGAGTGTAAAATTATCTTAGAATAAGTAAATGAATAAAATAACCAAAACACAAAACAAACAGAAACAAAAGGATTACCAGGGTAGTGATAAGTTTATTAAAGTCTATTTTTGGATGCATAAGTCCGGTTTCAGTTTCTTAATTGCAATGGCTTCAGCAAAGCGGAGAGTGGTGGTGGTTCTTTGTCTATTGATAATTTTAAACGCGCACATAATATCGACGGTATGCCCGGTGTCAAGTAGATGCCGAGCTATTGCGCTGTTAAAAGCTTTAGTCCCTCGCAGCGTCAAGTTTTTCGGAATATGCTCAGAAATGCGAACCTGTACTCTTCTCTCAGTTCTTCCAATGTATGTGCTACGGCACGTACATGTGAATTGGTAAATGCAGTTGGAGCAACAGAGGGGAGAGGACTTGTCGATTTTCGTTTGTTTCAGTGAACGGTATGTTTTCCATAACGTAGTCACTTTGGCTGCCGGGTAGGTCACTTTTAAAGCGGAATTAATTCTGTGATTGATAATTCCGGCGACTTCATCTCCTTTGAAACGTAAGGATAGGAAGCAGGTTTTCTTTTCAACTGTATCATGCTTAATCGGAGGGTTTGTATTAGCATATTTGTGGATGAATTTATCCGGATATGCATTTTCGCGTAGGCATTTGGTGATTGTAGTAATTTCTTCTTCGAGGCATTCTTTTGAGCAGATTTTTCGTGCGCGGTCAAAAAGGTTTCGCACAATACCCTTTTTATAGCTCATTGGACAGAAGCTGTTAAAGTTGAGATAAACTCCGCTCCAAGTATTTTTGCGGTGAATGTGTCTTTGTAGTGTGCCGTCCGATGTTCGCCTAATTCCAATATCTAGGAAATGGAATTTATCATCAACTTCATGTTCCATGGTAAATTCTATATCTTTGTGTACTTTATTGAACAGACTTAGTAGGTACATGGAATGTTGGTGATTTTTGCAGACAAGGAACGTGTCATCCATATATCTGCAGTAGAGTGTGGTACTGTCGATTGCGTGCTTCAGTTTCTTTTGTTCCAGATATCCCATAAAAATGTCGGCAAGAATTGGGCCTAGAGGGCTGCCCATTGCTATTCCATCAATCTGTCGGTACAGAACATTGTTAAATTTAAATTGTATGTTTTTTGTACACAAAAACAGGAGCTGTTTAAATTCCTGGGGTGGTAAAGGCAGGAGTTCTGGATATTCACATATGATCTCTGCCGTTTCTTCAAGGGGGATATTTGTGAAAAGCGAAGAGACATCAAATGAAACCATGAATTTGTCAGAGACATTAAGGTTATCAAGTTTTTGTACAAATTCAAAGCTGTCTTTCAAACTGTAGGCTGCTAGTTTTTTGCGGATTGGTTCCAAGCATCTAGTAAGCCAACGGGCAAGTTTATGGAAAGGTGATTTGGCCATCGATAATATTGGTCTTATAGGGACGTCGGGTTTATGTGTTTTGGGTAGCCCATATAAGTATGGCAATTGTGACCCTTTTGGTTTAAGTTCGTTATACGTATGATTATCTATTAGATTTTTCTTAACAAGTTCTCTCAACTTTCTTAAGACACGTTTCTCTGTCGCATCTGTTAAATCTTTCTGGGTATTGTCAATGATAAATCTAGTGGAGTTATTTAAAATGGTCATTACCTTATTGATATATTCATCTCTGTTAAGAATGACTACACTGGAACCCTTATCCGGACGAAGTAGCATTATTGTTTCGTCTTTAATAAGTTTTTTCAATGCTTGATGGTGGTCTTCGGTGAACACCCTTGAGTGTGGGATTGGTGTCGTAACATACTGGTTTGTGATATCCACTAATTTAGATTTAAACCAACTGTGCTTTTCGTCGTTCATGGGTTTAAAGTCTGACAGTTGTTGATATAAGTATTCAAACTGGGTCTCAGTGTCTATTCTGTTGCATTTTCTTGGGATATGAAATTTGAACCCAAGGCAGAGTGCTTCAGTTTCAATTCGATTTAGTTTTTTATTAGATAAGTTCTGTATGTATTTTCGTGGATTGGTAGGAAATGCCACGTGGGTTTGTTCTTTAACAAGTGTTTTGGTTAATGTCTTCATGAATTTCTGACCGCTTTTCGACTGAACATCACGAATGAAGTTAATAAGTTTAATACGACATATAATATTTAAATCCATAACGATTTTGTCATAACCAAAGGATTCTATTTTAAGTTTAGAGATAAGATCCTTAGTGCATTGAATTTGGGATTTGGTGACACGTCGAAGATTTTTTAACGAAGGAGGTAATTTACATGCGCGGACAGCTTTAAAAATGTGGCGAGGAAAGCAGCCATCGTTAAGGCAACGTGACAAAAACTTTAATCTTGTTGTTTCTCTCGATATCCTGCAACGAATTGTCACCAACTTGTTGAGTGACTTGAAAATGTGGACAGGGAGACGGCTTTTCAGAAAATTCATGCAATTGGTTCCCTTTATGAATTTAAATAAAGCAAGAACAAACATTGATGCAGAATAGTATGAATTCATATTATTTCGAGGTTTCTCGTCAGCTGCTTACAAACCAAAATTGTGATAGAATTTTTACATGTAGATAGTGTGAAACAATTGACATAAATAAGTGTAAATAACGTGATTACAAAAATAACTATATATATATGCTAGAAACAGGTCAGAGGTCAAAAGAGGGAGGTTAATCCAGGATGGGTGGTGTAATAATTTAGTGAAGTTCATAAATTGTGTGATAATTGTAGAGATTAATGGAATTGACTAATGATAAGGTAGATTACGTAATAATAATTAAATAGGGTTTGGAAAGTTAAGATGATTTAAGAGGATCAGGTGGTGGAAATGTGTGAATAAAATTTATTTTAAGAATTAGGCAATAGGGGGGGAGTGTAAAATTATCTTAGAATAAGTAAATGAATAAAATAACCAAAACACAAAACAAACAGAAACAAAAGGATTACCAGGGTAGTGATAAGTTTATTAAAGTCTATTTTTGGATGCATAAGTCCGGTTTCAGTTTCTTAATTGCAATGGCTTCAGCAAAGCGGAGAGTGGTGGTGGTTCTTTGTCTATTGATAATTTTAAACGCGCACATAATATCGACGGTATGCCCGGTGTCAAGTAGATGCCGAGCTATTGCGCTGTTAAAAGCTTTAGTCCCTCGCAGCGTCAAGTTTTTCGGAATATGCTCAGAAATGCGAACCTGTACTCTTCTCTCAGTTCTTCCAATGTATGTGCTACGGCACGTACATGTGAATTGGTAAATGCAGTTGGAGCAACAGAGGGGAGAGGACTTGTCGATTTTCGTTTGTTTCAGTGAACAGTATGTTTTCTGCATCAATGTTTGTTCTTGCTTTATTTAAATTCATAAAGGGAACCAATTGCATGAAATTTCTGAAAAGCCGTCTCCCTGTCCACATTTTCAAGTCACTCAACAAGTTGGTGACAATTCGTTGCAGGATATCGAGAGAAACAACAAGATTAAAGTTTTTGTCACGTTGCCTTAACGATGGCTGCTTTCCTCGCCACATTTTTAAAGCTGTCCGCGCATGTAAATTACCTCCTTCGTTAAAAAATCTTCGACGTGTCACCAAATCCCAAATTCAATGCACTAAGGATCTTATCTCTAAACTTAAAATAGAATCCTTTGGTTATGACAAAATCGTTATGGATTTAAATATTATATGTCGTATTAAACTTATTAACTTCATTCGTGATGTTCAGTCGAAAAGCGGTCAGAAATTCATGAAGACATTAACCAAAACACTTGTTAAAGAACAAACCCACGTGGCATTTCCTACCAATCCACGAAAATACATACAGAACTTATCTAATAAAAAACTAAATCGAATTGAAACTGAAGCACTCTGCCTTGGGTTCAAATTTCATATCCCAAGAAAATGCAACAGAATAGACACTGAGACCCAGTTTGAATACTTATATCAACAACTGTCAGACTTTAAACCCATGAACGACGAAAAGCACAGTTGGTTTAAATCTAAATTAGTGGATATCACAAACCAGTATGT